GCATGATCTGACAGCATCTATCTGTAAATAGGGTTTTCAAAGGTTCTGCCTCTTTTCCTTATATATACTGACTTATACTTAATCCTGCGTGATTGCGCATGCGCCACATTTTGGATGGTTATTTAGTATTGTCCGTAGTATTTTGCACTAAAATGCCGATCCTTCATTTACCTACGCAGGTGTATATCCGAACTGGCATAGAATTAACACACAATAATGAAGAGTCTTGCTGCTCTCTGAATTTTTGCGGAAGAACAACTTCGATCCAGTAATATCAGAGTTAAATCTTACCGTCTAAAATGTATGACCTTGAATATCAGCGTGTTGCCCCACTACTGTAACGCCTAAATTCAAAAAATATGGTGGAGGTAGTGTCATGATTTAATTTTAATATGTCCTCAGGCGGAAAAAAACTTGATGAGAGGTGTTGTCAAACCGGCTATCGATGATTCGGCCTTCGAGACTTTGAAAAGGGAGTACAGCGATGTATGTTACTTAACCCCATGTTCAGGTTCTCATTAGGTCGTCAGGGAATTAATTAACAACCCTGAACTGACGAAATTTCGCGAAGAATATGAAAAGATTATGCGAGCTCTGGAAAAATCGCATGAAAGCGAGAAGAGGTTAATGAGAAAGTGTCGAGAGCTGAAGGCTGACATCGTTTCCAACAAAGTCAAGGTAACCCAGGCGGAGCAACTTACGAGTGAAGATCCCACCAACATGATCGCGCTCAAGAAAGAACTCGAAAAGGCATGGGCCCTAGTTTCAATTGCTAATGAAAAAGAATGTAAGGCGAGGGACAGAATCAAAGTTTTAAAAGAAGAAATCGCTACGCTTGGAAAGATTATTGAAACGGGGTCTGGCGGTGTCGTCGGCGCCGATACGTACGTCATATACACTTCCTTATTTATGTCAAACTTAAAAAGAGAACATTATTCACATCTGAGTGCAAATTGCATCCTCCTCCGGTTTTCTGAATCGCATTTTCTTATATTCGGCTGTTGGATGTTGAAAAGCAATAAAAGACCTATAACGTTATTTTATTTGTGCAGTTTTGACCTAAATATATTACGGTCAAACTACAGCTTCATTAAACACAATTGGGTTATATAAATGCGTACAGTTACTTGACCTTTAAGTTGCAAACCGTCGTTTTGCACAAAGCGTTGCATAAGTTTGCTTCTAGCATATAATCAGTTTTCTCTCAAACCCAAATTATATATTTTGCTCACCGGATAACATATGAGGCAGATATTAGTGATCATTTAATAGACACCTTTAAACCCGTAAGAGTGTTTGTCCGCCAGGAGATGAACTGAACGGCGTATTTTACTTTCTATCCTATTTAAGGCATAAATCATTTATTTTTTCCCTATTAACCTCGTTAATTCTTCATAGTAAATGTGTCTTCTTCCCGCGTCTCACAGGTAAAATGTTTGCGTAACAAGTCCACTCATTTTATGTAGCAACGAAACTCTCCTGTCTCATGCCATTTTTGTTCGTTCGTCGACATGCATGCTGCTTAAGCTAATTTATTTACTGAACCTACTTTTAAAAGGCTTAACGAGTTGACAAAGGCGAAGGAGAAGCTAACCAAGGAGGCAGCCGATCAAGCGATCGAGAATGTAAAACTAAAAAAGGAGCTTGAAGCTACTAAAGTCCAGATCGCTAATCTTCAGGGCGACATACTCACCGCTCAATCAAAAATTACTGAACTAAGCCAAGACATTCAGGTACTTTTAATGCTGTTTTTAATCCCTCATATTCATTTCGTTGTAACGCGCAGTATGCCTCATTTCTGGTGTACGAATGTGTTTTATAATTCAGTTCTCCCATTAATAAACTCGGTTGAACCGTCGATGCTTATTTTCAGATAATGTTTTAAGTTATATTGGCTGGGCCTTAACTGTTATCTGGTTATAATTTTCATTCTGAAGTGAAGTTTAACACTTGTGATATCAGTCCAAACCAGCCTAATTATAAATGCAGATCGATCTGAATCATCTTGAAGGAAACAGTTAAGTGCTCCGTGAAATACTGTTTTCATAGAATGCATCCCACGACTGCCTTATAATAC